TATTGTGTTGGTTTGTTATTGAGTCGCTCATAATTTTCAATAATTCAAGTTGATTTTTTATTTGATTATTTGTTATATGAGATATTCTTGCAATCTTAGTATTTGATTTAAGGTAATATTGGATTGTTTTGGAATCATACTGTAAATACACATCCGAATTTCTGGACAATAAATAAAAACTAGTATGTACCCCGTGCGATGTACGGGACAGAGATATTAAATGAGTTATTTTCACACCCTTGTCCGTTTAAGTCTAAAAAATATTAGGGTTATTATCTATTTTTTACCTCTTTAATCAACATTAAGTCTAAAAAACAATAACAATAATGTTAACCAGCGTTGTTTTTTTAGCCCGAACATTAAATATGAGCATGTTAGGACTAGCTTGTAAAATAATTAATATTTTATCTCACTAAAACATTTAACTAATAAAAATTTAATTTTAGCATATAAATTTATCTCTTGATATAAGAGAAAGTAACAGTTTTACTTATTGTTGGTCACTATATAATATTTAGTTATTGTTTTATTATATAATAAAAAGGAATACTGTTAAATAGTGTAGTATAATTGTTATAAAATTATATGAATTGTTTTTTTTACAATATAGATTAGTATCTTTTTATGATTTGATAATATAACTATAATATATTCTTAATGATACAATCTGAAATCGGATTACAAAATTTCAATACATAAATAATAAACATTTTGGTAAAAAGATAAGAAGGAAATTTCAATTTCAATCTACAAAAAGTTTAAAACGATTTTATGGGATTTTGTTGACTAAATGGGATAAAACAAATACAAGATAAGAAGGAAATTTCAAATATACAATAAATTCAAGCCGATTTTATGTGATTTTTTCGCAGGAAAAACCGATTGTATGGGAATAGTAATAGCATTAATTGAGCGCATAGCATTAATGTCAATATAAAATAATTAAATAAAATACATGCTGGAAATAATAATTGCATTAATTGCAGTTGACTTTTCTGGATACTATTTGTAGTAAATAGGATCCCTTTTTATATAAGTATAGATAAAAAATATTAACTTTAAAACTTAAAATTTACATATCTGATGTTAGTTTCTTTTTTTATGTATATTTATATTATCATTATATTTTATAGTCCCGTAATATCAACATAAATTGCCATAAGAGTTTCCAGTTTGCATCAGAAAGTAATTCAATAAAACAGAGTACCAATTTGATTATTTGACAAAATAAAATGAAATAAAGAAACAATATTCAAACAAGAAAAAAAAAATAACATCATAGAATGTCAAGAAAAATATGTACAGAAAATCTCTGATGAAATCATTTTCTTGGTGCTGCTAAAAAAAAGAGCCCCAAGACGAAAGATTTTCTCCGCAATCGCAACATGTCTGCATTCCAAAAGACACAATTAAAAAAAAAAACCCAACAAAAAGAGTGAAAATAATGGATTTTTGTGCAGCTTATTTTTTTTCCACCATAATTATGAAATTAAACCTGGTGTCCACAGCCAAACGCCATGTTCTTTGAATGCAGATGGGACAAAGCTGTCGAATGAGAATTTAATCATCTTGTACAATTTTTATGCATTTGTATATATTCAGAAGAGATCAAAGTATGTTAATTAATAGTCACTCATCATAGTTTCATAAATAAATGAGCCATTACTAATCACAGAAAAGAAAGTGTATTTCACATTCTTAATTTTAGTAGAAATATGAACAGCTTAATTACGTTGTTATCAGAAGAACCGTAGCTTGAAGTTGGCTCGTGCGAACAGCTGGTTCGTGTTGGCTTCTAGAAGGTTCACTCGGTCGAAAAATGCCGTTTTGTGAGGTTTTTGGTGTGGAAACAGAGTTTGCACCGTACAAAGGAGGAGGAAGAGCAACTCTATCCACTCCATTACCTCTAGTTGCACTATCCACACATTATTAAAACAAAAATTAGAGATTTGCAACAGAAAAATATAATATAAAATAATATTTGGGATGAAAAAAACAAACCCAAGAATGTTAAGCTCGAGCGTGGCTTTATATTGAGAAGGTATTTCCATCAAAGCCGAAAGTGCAAACTCGGCTTCTTTACGGGGTAGATCCGTGTTTTTCGACATAATCTCCGTGAAGTTTACAAACTAGAAAATGCAAAAAAGAAGCAAAAAATTTCAAACAGATTCTTCTTCTTCTTCTTCTTCTTCTTCTTCTTCTTCTTTTTTCAGTTAACTAGGGACCATTATATTATTTATAAATTGCTCAACTTGCCTGGAAATTGTCAAAGGCTCGAGCAGGAATGTTGTCGTCAAATTCCTTCATCACATCCCAAGGCCCATCCCCAACTCCGACTAATATTATCGACAGTGGGTCACTATAAATAAATAAACAATTGAACAATAATGAAAAAATAAAAAAAATGGTTTAGATCTCAAGCAATTATTATTAAGAAAAATACCTTGCTTTCACAATTGCATCCACAGTTCTCTTCTCTTGGGGACTTAACTGGCCACGAGCAGTGCCCACACTTCTCGTGACCTATACATAAACCATATTTAAATTTCGAAGTAGAATTAATATTCACAAACAAGTTAATTTAATTCTTTTTCGAAGTCAATCTTTCATGTCAACTGTGAATGATATTAAATTGGAAAAAGTACCTGACCATCAGCAATTATCAGTAAAACATGGTATTGGCCACCACTTTGCTCGACAATAGTGATAGCCATCTCAATAACAGGGGCAAATGAAGTTGGTCCTGTGGAATAATAAGAGGTTTAAGTAGAAAATAGAAAAAAAAAAAACAAAAAAAAACAATTATCTATTAACAAAAAACGTGAAATCTAATAACTCGAATTGGGACCTGCAAGTCGCAATTGAGGAACGAGCTCTCTATACCGGCTCAAAACTTCCTCGAAGCCCTCACAAATCTCTCGTCAGGGAAAAAACTGAAGACCATTTGGTCATGTGTCGAAGCTGAAAAACATTATTATGCTCGTAAGATTTCGACTTATGTTACGGCTATAGATGTGAAACAGTGAAAGTAGTAAATATTTTCCCATGAAAATTACCATCTCCAAAACCAAAACATGGAATTAAGTTATCTTCGTCAAATTTGGATAGCGTTCTTCCTATAATTGATATTGCTTGTTCGTAGGGATTTGGCTCGTCTCCAATGTGATGCAAACTTCTTCGATGAAATGATCTTGCACCTGTGAGAGAGAAGAAAAGAGAGTATATATAGTGAATCTTTATGGAATTACTGTCGAATTTTTTCAAACAAAGCAAGAAGAAATAGAAAATTGCCTGTCCACTCATTGCTCTTGGTGAAATCAATTCCAACAATTAAATTTGACGACTCCAGACCTGCACGCGCAAGGGCATCTGTGACCTACAAAAAGCTCCATAAGTTTGCTGTGGCCCACCATACGTTGGCCGTGACGATGCATAACCGTATCTCGGTTGAGCATACGATTGTCGATACCCCGGATAGGCATTATTGCTCCGTGAACTTGAACTCGACGCATAAGAAGAATATCGACCAGAGTTCGACTTTTTTGAATGCTTAGCACCCATTAGCTCTTGAACCAGATAACTACACACACACACACACAGCATAATTGAATATAAAGTAATCAAAAGAAACAAGACAAACATTCTCAGCACGAATTTATCAACATCATGAGTTCATTCATGAAAATTCACCCCAAAACAAAATCCAAGCATTGAATAGCAAAGGAATTGCAATTAATTTCAGTTAACCGATTCTTTCTGAGTGATACACTGCCAACCAGCAACAAATGATACTCCAAAGACATTAGTACTACTAAAATTCAGTAAAAAATGAATCTTGCAAGTGGAATGAGATTGTAAAGGCTATAAATTTCTGACACTGACATATTTTGTTGGAGCAAGTCAATTTTCATAACCATCACTTTGAATCTTGCAAGTGGAATTCCATTTAGTACCCAACGATACCACAAATATATTAATACTACTAAAATTTATTAAAAGTTGAATCTTGCATGTAGAATCACATTACAAAACCTACAATTTTCTGACACTGACATCTTTTCTTAGAGAAAGTCAATTTTCATAATCATCACATGTCACTATAAACAACAATCATAACATCGAAATCAATAATTCCACTTAGTTCAACTGCATACAAATTCCCCATCAAAGGAACATTCTTACTTAATCTGAATGCAGCAAATCTCCAGCTCCCAACACTAAGTTTAAGGAGAAAATGTAAGAAAAAAGACTGAAACACACAGAACCCAACATCAGAATATACAAATGATATCAAACAAAAGGGCCAAAAACAAACCGCTAGATTCTGACGCAATTAATATACGAAAATCATTACTATGAAGTCACAAAAGCAATCAATAAAAACAAAAACCTCCAATAAAAAAACATAAAATTTAAATAAAATTCTTGGGTTTATCCATTCCTAAACATCAAAAATCCTCCTTTACCTTGTTCAACAAATTTGTTGCATGTTCGGCATTGGCCGTCACAGTAAAATAGATAGTGAGCTGTGTGTTTTAGTGTGTGTGATGCGTGGGTTGATGGGATTGTGAGAGGTTTTGCCGTCTGAAGTCACCTGTGATTTTTTTTTTAACTGAAAGAACAGAACTTTGAGGGAAATTCTCATAAATTTCTTGATTTTATTGTGGGGTAGGAAAAAAGATGACAGAAAAAGGGATCACTTTTTGGCAACTATGGATAAGCATCGTTTTTTTTCCTTGGAGATGGGAGATTTTGTTGCTTTTTGTTGTGAAAAGTTTTGAATGAGACAAATATTTTATCACAAAATATTTTGAGTTTGTTGAGACTTTAATTAAAGGGGAAAGTCCACTTTTGGTCTGTATAGGGGGTATTCAGACTGAGTCCCTATTATGTTTTGGTGCCCAATTTTAGTCCTTAAAACAAAAAAATGTAGTCCCTATAATAGGGAAAAATCCATTTTTAGTCCTCCATGTTTAGGGGTATCCAGACTTAATCCCTATTATGTTTTGATGCCCAATTTTAGTCCTTAAAACAAAAAAATGTAGCCCTTTACCTCAATTTATGTGAATTAACCGTCCATTTTTGCTCGACCGTTATGTTCTTCATTTTTTTAAAATTTGTTGACTAATGTCAACTTTGACCAAAGAAAAATAAAAGAAAATTTAAATGCTGAAAAAAAGTAAAATAAAAGGCAGAAATGTTGAACTGCAGTGAAACGTAGAAAAAAAAAACCTGACCGCCTAGAGACTAAATCCGATCAAATGGATGGAAATGGTGTGGTATTTTGTAGATGTGAGCTGGTTGCAAAGTTGACTACATGCTGGAAGGATGATAATCCCGAGAGAAGATTCTTGAGTTGCCCTCTATATCCTGTAAGTACTTTCTGTGAACTTCAATTGGAATATGATAAGAAGTGGTTAAAAAACAGAGGGTTGATAGGTGCAATTTTTTTCGATGGCATGACCCGGAAATGGGTGCAAGAGCAGTAGCTGTGATTCCAGGCTTGCTCCGCAGCGCGAATGCTAGAGAAATAGAAATCAGACGAGCAAAAATTTTAATTTAATTTGGTGCAATTTCTTGTTTTGTTTAATTTTTGATTAATATATTTTCAGCATTTAAATTTTCTTTTATTTTTCTTTGGTCAAAGTTGACATTAATCAACAAATTTTAAAAAAATAAAGAACATCACAGTCGAGCAAAAATGGACCGTTAATTCACAGAAATTGAGGTAAATTGACTACATTTTTTTGTTTTATGGACTAAAATTGGGCATCAAAACATAATAGGGATTAAGTCTGGATACCCCTAAACATGGAGAACTAAAAGTGGATTTTTCTCTATTATAGGGACTACATTTTTTTGTTTTAAGGACTAAAATTGGACACCAAAACATAATAGAGACTCATTTTTTTGTTTTAAGAACTAAAATTGGGCACCAAAACATAATAGGGACTCAGTCTGGATACCCCCTAAACATGGAGGACCAAAAGTGGACTTTACCCTTAACTAAAATTGTCCTCATTGTACTTGAAACTAGTGCAGAGTCCGTGCGATGCACGTGTTGCACAATTTTAAGGCTATTTATCTAGGCTTATAATTATATACATGAATAAAGAAAAATGTACGGGATATATATAGTACGTGACCCGTGCGAGGCACGACATATATTTATTTGGGTAATATTATATTATAAGATGCAATATTAACTAAAATTTTATAATACGTAGAAAAATTGTACAATAAGAAGTATTGGATGAAAGACCTATTAACTTGTTTGATTAAGCTAAATTCTTGATTCATTATTTTGAATGAAATACTGATTGGGGATATTTTTTTTGTAGGAGGTTGAAGTGAGGAAGACGATGACTCAATATTTTGAGATTTATAATTTATAATTAGTAGAGTAGAATCAATATCTGTTAAGATTTTTAAGAAAAAATTTTGATATACGGAAATCACTTAGATCAGATTTTCCATACAATTAGATAAGATTTTTTGTACAAAGATAAGAAGGACACAAACTATAAATATTAATTGTATTGATTTATATAAATTAATATCTATATAGACAACCAAACCCTTCAATTTAGGCTTGATATCTGATTTATTTTTTGTAAAATCAAGATTTTATCTTCCGATCAAATATGCCTTTTTTTTTGTTTTACGTACATTTATTTTTTGTACCGATTTTATGGGAAAAATAATTAAATAAAAATTAATTGATAGAAATAGAATGCATTAATTACTTTTGACTTTTCTTTCTACTAATTCTAATAAATGAGATGACTCTTTATATAAGTATAAATTAAATATTCGAAAAATCGGTATTCAATGTATGTTGTAATGTATGAATAAGTAATATGTATTGTGATAGCTAATAATTGAAATAAACTAAAAAATATATAAAAATAAGTAATATTCCAATATACTATTAAAAATTTCGAACCAAGTTCTCAAATAATAATACTTGCAAGCGTTCATTTGCAGCTCTAATGCTGCTTATTCTACTCAATGAAATGAAAAACAGCAGCTACACAATGCGGCTGTTAAAAATTAAAAAAACAAACTAAAACTATAACCTAAATTATTTTAAAATAAGATAGCAATCATGAGAATTCAGTTAATCTTGTTTAGAATTTTTATTTGTATAATAATCATTATCTTTATAGTTGTAAAATAGATATCTGTTAGGAGTGCTATTCAAAATCATACGGGATCAAATTATTAGGTCCGAGTTTGAAGGCCAACACAGCAATTAAAGAGTCTGGTGAATCAAATACTTCTTTAGAATTTTTATTTGTAAAATAATCTTTATCTTTATATTTGTAAAATAAATATCTTTTAGGATAGCTATTCAAAATCATACGGGATCAAATTGTTAGGTCCGAGTTTGAAGGCAATAATGTCCGAAAATCTATATTTAGTAGGCATTAAATGTATTTGGCGGGAAATAACTGCCAAAATTGTTAAATGGTTAATCTTTTTATATAACTAGTGCGTGGCCCGTGCGATGCACGTAAAAATAATATTATGATTGTATTATAAATTAAATATATAAATAAAATTAATCATTATTTATCTATTATTTTTTAAATTAAATCGGGTTGGACACAGTCTGATCGGATTGATCGAGAACCGGCTTATAACCAGTAAAGTTTGCTTGAATAAAATATTTGCTCTCGAATCCGTCAACACTAATCAGTTGGACTGGTAGGATCGATACGATTTTCTAAATAAATTTTGTTATATTTAAATTTATTTTAAATAAAATTACATATTTAAATAAAATAGAGATTTATAAATTATTTATTAAATTGTTTAAACATTTGAATTTATAAATTATTTAGATATCTAAGTAACACATTTTATTTAAAAGTATTACAAAAAGTACTATATATATATATATAATCTGAACAAACCACAAATGATTTAATAAAATAGCTTGATCGTTTCGATGACGGTCCAGTTTTGAAAACCTTATATTTACTGTATATTAATAAATATTATAGTAAATATTATTTAATTCACATAATACTAATAAAATGATATATAATATTCATAAATCATTAAACATGTTGTCATAAAATATTGTTAATACGATTATTTAAAATTTAGACTACATCACATTCACGTAATAAAATATTTTTTAATATAAAATTTATATTTAGGTTCAATAATCAATTTGGTATGGTCGAACTGATACATAACTTAGTCATCTGGGACCAACCAAGTTATGTCAAGTTTTTTGACTATTTTAAATATCACCTCAAAGTAATTCAATCAACTGCCCTAATTCAATCGCATGATTGATCCGAAGAAATTTTTTTATTTTCTTTAAATATATTTAATTTTATGAAATAAAAATATAGTATGATTCATATAATAAATGTCTACACCAAATGATAGTATATTAAGATTATAAATTATATATCTAAAGATGAATTAATTATTTTCACTTTATTCATATTAATAAAAAATAAACATAGTAATTTTAAAAAAAATTAAGATTAATTGATTGATTATGAAATTTAAAGAATATTTTTAGCGTTCAATATTTTTTTAAGACACAAATATAAAGACCGAGATTCTAAAACTTTTGTTATATTTCGTAAAGACCGAGATTCTAAAACTATATATATGTATATAGATTATTGAAATATGCTAAAATTTGAGAATCATATTACCTTGATTTTATAAGAAATCAACCTAAAATTCGACTATCATACTCGTACCAAATAAAATTTATACAGTTTATTTTATTTTCAAAATGTTCAAATGCACTTTTATCCTCCCAAATAAAATTCATATTATTTAAATATGGACCTTTTATACCAAAATAAAACCGCTTACTTCATACAATATATTCGAACATTTATTAATAACACATTTCCTACCAAAAATAAAAATGTTAATCAAATACATCAAATAAAATCGCTCACTTTATACAAAAATCAAATTTATTAATTTTGTCAATTTTATACATATATTTCTTAATTAACTTCTAAAGTCGTGATTTTTAAAAATTTTAAAAAAATATTACTAATTTTAGTAATTTTAAAATTTTTAGACGGGATTTTAGTTTTTATTCCAAGTAAATATAAATCTTTATATATATATATATATATGTGTGTGTGTGTGTGTGTGTGTGTGCGTGTGTGTGTGTGTCGACTTGTAATAATATGCATTGACGTGATAAAATACTATGTTTATCAGCAGATAAATATATATAAATATAAATATGTATTGACTTGTGATAATATGGATTTGTGATTATCTATTTTGTTTTAACATTTTTATTTTTAACATCGATTGGAAATGTGATTTTTTAAATTATTTTGTTTCATTATACAATAGATTTAGTTTTCCAAATCATAATATGAATAGCAAGCAGTTTTCCAAATGATATATATGAATAGCACACCATGTAAATCAAATGTTTACCACACAAATCGCTATGACATAAAAAAAGGATCATTTATCAGAATTTTTCCAAAAGCAATTAATTATAAATTCAATCTAGTACTCGAAACTCATTTAAAAAATTTAACCAAAAATAAAAGTTTAATCTCATTTCGAAATGTAATCAACAAATCTGCTAACCAATTTGATAAAATAACAGCTATTCTTACCATGAAAAAATCGGCACAAAATGTAAACAGCAAATCTGCTAACCAATTTGATAAAATAAGAGTTATTCATACCCTAAAAACATCCGCTTTTCAAGGCAAAATTGTTAGAATGCATTTAATGCATTCGATTGGTTTATAATTAAAACGTGTTTTAAGATGCGTTTTATAGTATGTAATTAATGATTTTAGAGGGAAAAATTTTCTAAAATTGATTAATGATAATTCTTATTATATATATATAGATGATAGATTTAACTTATTTGTAATGGTGTTAATATTGTGATGCCTTTAGATTTTAGAGATAGAGATGCTACGAGTTTTGCAAAATATAAGAGCAGCTCCAATGCTGCGCTACTCTAGCGCAATACGCTAGAGTAGAGATAAAATTGCTCTCCAACGCTGCTGCGCTACTCTAGCGCAATACGCTAGAGTAGAGATAAAATTGCTCTCTAACGCTGCGCTACATTTCTGCACTACTCTAGAGTTATGAACAGTATCGCGCTACATCTGGCGCGGTACTATTCATTACTCTACAATTTTTATTTGTTTTTTTATTTTTTTATATTATATGTAATTGATTTATCTTAAAAATTATTATTTGACAAAATTTGTACCATATTTATAATTTAATTTTAGAATTATATGAAAATATTATTTTTAAAATTTTTATATTTATATTGAATTCCTATAAAATAAATCAAATAATATAAAATAATAGTAATTATTTGTCCAATAATATTTTAATCTTGTAGTAGACCAACTAACATCATGATATATTTATTTTATAAAATAATATGTTCAATTAAATAATATTTAACATGTTAGATAAATTAAAATAATATGAATAATATATATGTGGAGTAGAATGTAGCGCGAACTGTTGGAGACCAAATTTGATTTTTGTTTAGCTTTACTCTAGAGTAGAGTAAACTCTACACTATAGTAGAGACAAGGACTGAAGATGGTCTAAGATGTCATGAAAAATCAAATATATGTATGTGGAGAGATTTTCACTTCTNGTAATGCCAACTTGGTATATTTTTAATTTGATGTATAAGGTGTATTTGATATAAAATAATAGAAAGGGAAGAAGAAAGGGAATCCACAATGTAAGCCTAAAATAATAGAAAGGGAAGAAGAAAGATCTTTTTTTTTTACACTGATTATTCTTTTTTGTGTGTTGTGATTAAACTGCAGAAACGGGTTTGTGTTTAATCTTGGGTTTCTTATGTTGTTTGGGGTTTTTGAGGTTAATTAGTGCACAATAACGGAAGTAACTGAAGAGGAGTACGACTGTACGAGGTGAGGCAAATGAGAGATAATGGCTGCTGCTAGAAAGAGATGGGAAGCTCTGGTATTTCGTAATTTATTTATCTATTTCGTTTCTCTTTTGCTTTTTGGATGATTTGTATGCTATAGTGTTGAGGAAATATGTAAAGGGACAAAATTTTTGCAAGAAGTTACCACACACCAAGAACTTGAGTGTCTGAGTGTGTTTGCTTCCAAAGGGGTGAATATGGTGATGTGAATGCATTGGTTAATTAGTGTGCTATAGTGTTTCTCTTATGTTGTTTGGGGGTTTTGAGGTTAATTAGTCACAAAAATGAAAGCAATTGAAGATGAGTACGAGGTGAGGCAAAAAATAACAGATATGACTGCTGCTAGAAAGAGATGGGAAGCTCTGGTATTTCGTAATTTATTCATTTATTTGTCTATTTCGTTTCGCTTTTAGCTTTTTGGATGATTTGTTTGCTACAATATTGAGGAAATATGTGAATGGACACAATTTTTGAAGGATAATTACGAACTTGGTGAAGGAAAGTAAACTGTTTCAATTTCATTTCTTTTCTTATGAAGGAACATGTCCTGTTATTTCTGAATATTTTTTTCTGAAGCAGAGAACGATTAAACAGATAGACAATGAATAGATAAACTTATCCACCTCCAATCGACTGATTTTGTTTCTTACATTGTTCACAACTTGAATTATTCCTACTTAATTATGCTTTGTCTAGAAATCGCAACACACTTAACGGTACATTACTAGACTTTCAAATGGAGTTTAACTGTTAACACAATTATTATATGGAGTGGCCACCACAAGCATTGGAAGCTTTTTATGAACTGTTATTCCTCCACTTTCACTCATGTCCAAATCCTCTCCCTTTTCTCCATTCGGCAGTTCGAAATCAAAATGGTACACCAATTTGGCCAATCCAAGCTCATCAACAGCCACACCGAAATTAATCCCGGGACATCCCCTCCGGCCAGCCCCAAACGGGATTAACTCGAAATCTTTACCTCTGAAATCAACTTCCGAATCCAAAAACCTCTCTGGAAAAAAATTTTCGGGATCTTCCCACGATTTTGGGTCTCTACCGATGGCCCACGTGTTTATCACGACCCTTGTCCCGGCAGATATATCGTAGCCCATGACTTTTGTGTCGTGAGTGGATTCGCGAGGGATGAGCAATGGGACCGGCGAATGGAGTCTCAATGATTCTTTTATCACTGCTTTGAGGTAAGGCATTTTTTCGAGATCATCCTCGTTTATTGTATCTTTCTTGTTATTGCTTGCGGCGACTTTTCGCACTTGGTTCTGTAGGGTTTTCATGGTTCTTGGATTCTTTATGAGTTCCGCCATTGCCCACTCGAGAGCTGTGACTGTGGTGTCGGTTCCGGCAATAAACATGTCCTGCCATGAAAAGATTGATCGGTCAGGTTAGTTGTTCGGGTTAAAATGAGTTTTTTTCTGGCTAACCATAGTTAATTTTGAAAAAAGTTGTATGATATGATTAGTTGTTAGCGAGATTTTGAGTTTATATTGAAAAAATATTAAAAATAAAATATTTAAAGTTGATTTGATGTAAAAGTAGGAGATTAGTTGAAATTATGTGAGTGGACGAATACGGAATTAAAGTTAATCCGATGTGTAAGAATGATTAGTTGATATTATTTAGTTATAGTGATAATATTGAAGATAGTGAGGTTGGGTTAGAGTTGAGTTAGATTTTGAGTATGAATCGAGTATGGATTGAGTAAATTTATATACAAACACACCCTAATAAGGAAAATTTTGCGTATGAGTAATCTCATCTTTATGCATAGATAGTGAGTGAATTTCATTAGTGCAAGAAAACATTTAATCGCATTATCGTGAATTGAAAAACATGTGTTTCTTACCACGATGAGAGCCTTAACCGTATCATCACTAATAGGTGAGCTGCTATTTATACTCTCTCGTTGAAGTTCGAGCAATCTATCAACGAAATACGACTCTTTGTCGTATTTTTCGCCGTAATCTTTATTATGTTCTCGAATCACAGTCTCCAAAAACTCGTCAATCAGTTTAGCCGCTCTCTCGACTTTTTTGTATAACCCGTTAACATAACTAATCCAACCCAACCACGGTATATATTCACCTATACTCGCTCTACCTAATAAATCATTGACCTCTTTCATTAACTTCTTGAACTTCTTCCGATCTTCACCATCGTATTTTCTACCAAACAATGCCATGCAAATGACATCGTTCGTGAGTGAGGAAAAAAGATCGGTCAAGTTGATTGATGAAGAAGAAGAAGATCCCAACTGCCTAATTTTGTCGATCATGTTCGATGTTTCTTGTTCGCGTATGTGGCGAAGAGATTGAACTCTTTTGTTGCTCAAAAGCTGATGCACGCATATGCTTCTCATCTGCAAAGACACTTTAAAATAATAAATCTATCGAGTATGTACATATATACATACAATGTATGGAGTTTATGCACCTTTTTCCAGTATTCCCCATAAGCAGTAAAAGCCACGTCCCGTGAGCCATACGTGAGCTTATCTGGCACGCTTAGTTTGGGCTTGTTTGAGAAGATTGAGTCTTGATTTTTCATTATCTCACGTGCAACTTTTGCCGATGAGACCAAAAGAACTGGCAAGCTCCCGAAATGAAGCAACAAGAGCTCGTCATCGCCATAACGTCTGGAGAGTGACTGTAGCGAACGGTGAGGAGATTTTCCGAGCATGAGGAGGTTTCCGATCACCGGAAGTCCTTTTGGAGATGGCGGAGAGTTTTTCTGGCCACCGGAGGAAGTTCGTTTTTGGAATAGAATTATTATGAAGAAGATGAAGGAAAAGAAGGAAAAGAGAGGTATGATGAATTGTTGTTGTTCGAAGATCGACATGATGGACATTTTTCTCTTTCTCTCTCGTTTTGTTGTTGTTTTGATGGTGGAAGAAATTCTGATGGAATTTATAGGACTTCTGGACGGGTCGACTCAATCATACTGTACTTTCCCGAGCCTTCACGGTTATGCTTTTTTGGCCTCATAACCTCTAATGGAGAGATGTCTAAATATGTCTAACCAATGTGGGACTTTGGTTGGCCTCATCAGTCTATTTTCTTCCTGAACAAAGTTCCTATTGAGCCCCTTATTCTTCATCATGACCCTACTCCTTGGGCCTTCTCAATTATTACTTTCTGTAGGAGAGAATACCTATGGTTAGAGTTGTTAACAAAACGAGCTGCTTGTAAAGCTTGTCAAAACTTGAGCTTGACTCGACTTAATAATGCTAAAAAAGATAATATTTTTATATAATTTTCTATAGTTAGACACGTTAAAGTTCGGATTCTGCTTTTAAATAATGATTAGTGAGCCTAGCTCGAGTTCTTCTATTGACTCATTAAGTTAATGAGCCCAACTCGGCTCGACTCGTTTACAATCCTACCCAAAAGGTCTGTTTCTGATAGAGAAATGTCTATATTTATAAACTCGTGATCAACTTCGATGTGGTATTTGGTTGGTCTTAGGCTTAGCCACCACTAAAATTAGACAAGGGTTCTCTTGATATTTTTGCCATGTAAATTCATGTGAATCATATTTGTTACGTATTGTATAGGCAAAGTCACAGTATAGTTTTTCTCTGATTTCAACTCCCATGGACCCATTGATACGAAAATGTAAGTGAAAGAATGGAGAAAAGTATAATGGGTGAGTATTTTATTTTTTCAATGGTTGACATGTAACTTGATTGGATGTGTTTTGAAATTGAAATGTTTGACTATTATATTTTTTAATAATAATTGTTGTGACATGGACTCAAATAAAAATTAATACAATGAAAATTTGACTTTAGTCTGAAATAAATTTTAACGGTCGGTTTGTGTTTGTTGAGAAATCAATTTTATTAGTAATTGACTAATTGCTATGACATGGACTCGAATGGAGTAGGTAAATAAAAATTAACAATAATGAAAAATAGAATTTAGTCTGAAGTCATTTGTCAATCATCAGATACAGTTCCGTGAATTTTGGACTACAAACTATGAGCCCAACACGGATAGTGGATTGGATCTAAACCCAAAAATATTATGCTAATTGGTTATAATTTTTATTTTTATTTTAATGAATTTTTTTTTTATTTTTTTTTAAGGGAACTACAATTTAAAAATAAAAAGTTAACTCAAAATCTCATTCAACTTAATTATTTCTAATTAATTAAATAATAAAAAATAATTATTACCACACAATTTTCTAACAAAATGCACTTTATCGATTCAAATATTTTTAACTAGCAATCACTTATAATTATTATTTTACTACTTTTAAATAACATCAATTTTAATCATTACGTTTTAACTCCTATCAATTCACAATCACAAACTCAAAATCGATTCACAAACTCAATTTCACATACAAGAAAACATTTGTCGCTATTTCCAAGTTCCAACGCCATCTAGAACCAGAACTAACTCGTATAGAGAACACAATCGAATCAAATGTTCTCATACTATTCGCTTATACAAGACAGGGGTCATAGAGAACAGTACACGACTTCACTACGGTTATCGCGAAAGAATACAAAGAATCATTATTATGAAAAGTTATAACCAAAGTAAAAGGATCGACTGTTGCTCGAGAACCAAAAAAGAAGATCACAAACCAGCAGAAACCAAGTCATGCAACGTAACGATGCCAATGAGGACATTTTGGTCATTGATGACGGGCAAGAACTGAACGGGCGATGGAGGGGACTCCATCTTTTGCATAGCTTCGACTGCCATTGCATCGGGACTTATTGTCCTCGGGTTCTTGAACAAAAATGCAAATCAAAAGATTTCAAATCTAGTTTCGAATGTAGGAAAATATCCTCTTGATATATCTATTTCTTTTCCTACAAATCACAAGTTCTTGTTTTGTCGAGCATAAGAGAGATTTTGGTTCATCAACAATTTTGGCTATACCTGTGTGAATTGAAACCCGAACTTTCACCAGACATACAACAGATATAATTNAAAAAAACCACATCTGCACAAGAGAGATCTTGATAGGTGCATATGACTAGAGAGTAGTCCAAGTAATGTTTATATGCCAACTACAAATGGGAATTACAATGCTTTTCACCATTTGAAGTGACATAAAAGGAGCTCATTTAACAGAATCAAAGTACATTATATGGTTTTAGTAGATTGGCTCAGTGTTTATATGGATTAATAACAAGTAACAAATGGAAGGAAGTTAAAATACGTGGAATCTAAGATTAGTTCGTCTTTGTTTTATCCTCTCTACTGCAAAGATTATTGATTCACTAAACTCAGTAACAGAAAAGGGGCAATGAACAGAGATATAATATACCTGTTACACATTTCGCCCATCGAAAGCTTGAAAATCCCTTCACCACTAGCTTTCAGTGTACGCCTCAAATCACCATCAGTAAATGTACCGAGCAAATGATACTCATCGTCTATAACAAGAAGGCATCCACACTCTTTACTTGTTAGCTCAACCAACTGGTCCATTATCAAATCATGTTCACTACATACTGGAAGCTCTTCCTTCTTCATGAGATCCTTCACCTACAACTGATCAATATTCTCGATTGAAACAGACAAAAACAGCTCTCAAGATTTTGGAAAAGTCTCAATAAGTGAAAATAACTATATATTGAAAGGAGTGGCGTAGATCATTAGTAAAAGAAATCCATAATTCAACAAAGAATGAGTAAAATGTAACTCAAACATCATCAAAATCAAGAAGAAATTTTCCCCCGGGTATTCCCGAAGCATAAATAACAACAGCATCTCCTCCATTGTACAATTTCTTCCCCAATGTACAGCTTATACAACAATTAGAAGCTACGAAGCTCAAGACAAATGTGTTTCAAGATGCAAACAACAATGGCTGAAATTTTGACGTTTTCGTTCTCATAATATATCCTCCATCAAGGCATAAAAAATTTTGTTCACAAAATTTCCTCACAAAACCAACGAGTATACAAACTCACACCCAAATCACAAGCCCTAATACATGAAAGNAAAAAATCACCTTGAAAATCAAGCTTTTCCCAATCCTCCCCGCTGGATGGTTCGCAGCATATTCCCGCTTGCTCAAATTCCTCGCCCCCATGAGCGCGATAGCCACCGTATCCCCAAACACCATCTGTATGGCCGTCGACGTCACCGGCGCCAGATCAAACGGGCACAGCCGCACAGCTCCCGCTCAAGCGGCAAGTGGACGTTCAGATCGCACGACCCCATCAGCGCATTGGGCCTCGCCGACGTCACCGATATCAGGTAAGCCCCCTTGGCCCTCGCGCATGGCACGAGCCTCACCAGCTCCTCCGAGTTCCCGCTCTTTCTGAACAGAACCAGCAGGTCTCCGGGATACAGGATGCCAATGTCGCCGTGAAGCGCGTCGACGGGGGGAAGGAACCCGGATCTGACGCCGAGGGAGACGAGGGTCTGCGAGATATTCTGGGCCACGAACCCGGATTTGCCGACGCCGGTGAAGAAGATGGTGCCACGGGCGTCGAGGAGGGCCTGCGTGAAGGCTAAGGTTTGCGTGGCGTCGAGGTTGTGGAAGAAGTGGTTGAGGTAGTTTTGCTGGCATTTGAAGAGGTTGGTGAGATGGGCTTGGTCCAAATTCGATTTGGAGAGATCCTTTTCTTGTTCATCAGTGAATGGGAGCGGTGGAGGGAGAGCCCATTGTTGGTTGTCCTGTTTCGAGCTTGGTGGTTATGGCGATTTTCTTCAGGAAGGAGGAGAGGTGCTTTGCAGACTGGTGGGAAACACTAAAAAGAAAGAGAGATGTTTGTACAGTGCGCTGATTTGGTGGTACGCTGCTAATTAAAGAATCAACAATGCTATCTTGGATTGACCAATTGAGAAAAGGTGTCGATAGAGTTTTATTTATTTATATTATTATTTGATAAAAGTTTTGAGCTTGTTACAACTCTAATGTGGAGATTCCTTCAATAATACCTTTGTAAGAGTTCGAAATTTTATTTGTCACAACATATGCTTTTTCGCTTCATGATACTTTTATTTTTTTTGGTACAATTCATGATACTTTTATTAGTTCCAAGATATATGGATTTTTTACATCAACATCTCAATGTGTACATGTTACATATTAATCTCATATCCATTTTCACTTTCACTTGTTTTAGAGAAGTATTTGGCAACATAAATAAGTCTTTTAATATATTAATGCAAGTTTGTTTATTGATAACGCATAGCTCAAATCATTTGATACATAGCTATGTTTAGCTTCAAAAGGGGCTAATAATTATGAGTATGACTATAAAATTTAAACCTTAAATAGCGAAGGTTATTTATGTATGGATATGTACACGTATGCTTTATGGGAACATTTCAATCTACATGCACTCACCAGATTCTTTTTAATTTGAGTGTGTGTTAATTCAAAAGTAAAATAACTGACAATTAAATTGTAGTCGATATTGACCATGCTTTACTTATCTATGTATCTACACAATTTCTCATCTATTTTCATATATATATATATATAATTGCTTCAATAAATTTTATTCAGCTAGCATTTAATAATAATATGAGTTCATTTAATTACTTTTTCTTTTATTATATTGTTTTTCGTGCAAATGTACGGGATAAAACTAGTTGAATATATATATATATATATATATATATATATATATAGATTAAAGTGTAGGTTTTGCATTATTTTTTTCTTCTAAAAACATAGTGGTCATATTTATAGCAAGCCCATATGGAATATATGTTGCATTCAATTTAAGGGCTGATTGATTTGTCAGAAAAATATTGAATAGTAGCCCATATAACAGATAGATGTCCCAGTCTCATTTCCTTACCACTAAAATTATATAGTATGTTTTATACAGATATTATATTTATTTTTTCTATAAATTAATTCTTATATTTATCCAATCACATCCAACGTACTGAGAGTCTGCCGGCCCATATGCATAGATAGAGTATATTTAAATATTTTTTGAATCCATACTATACCACACTTTTTATTTTTTAGATTTATTTTTACCATGTAGCAATCCTAGAACTTGAGTGCAAGAATCAGATGAAATCGAATTGAGTCCGAGCTTCAAATGTTTGAATTTGGTTTTTTAACTTTTGTTGGCTCTCGAGTTAGTGCCACAACGAATCAAGTTTGAGACGAACTAGAGTGAAAATTCATAAAATTACGTAAAAAAATTTATCATCAAGTCGAGATAAATATTAATGAATTCGAATTTGACTCTTTTATCAAACAATTGAGCCCAACTAAACTTTAAATGAGTTCAATATTGACTCTTTATCAAACAAGTCGAATATAACCAAAAAGAACTGAGATGAGCTCAGAGAACTCGTTTCATTTAACAATTCTATTTAATTCGGCCTAAAAACGTTTAAAAAATAAAATATAATTAATTAAAAAATTAAATAAATTAGCCAATTATTAGTATTTTTTAATTTTTTTTTATTTTTATTTTTGTTCCACTAAAAAGTGGACAAACACCAGAAAATTAAAATAGCAAACAACAAATCATTGTCTTTGTACCATTTAAATTGTTCTTGCCAATAGTGAGCATAGTTTACTCACGAAAGGAAAAAAAAAAGTGAGAGTGGTTTCAGATGTTTTTTCAGATTTCTTGAGCTTGGGGGATGGATGATGCAATAGCCCCGTGTTTGGTTTCTCAAGCAGCAAATTCTTCGATCTGTAAGCTTCGTTCTCAACTAATTTTTCGCTACCCAAATTTCTGCTTTTTCCCCCATTTCTCATTTGATGGATTGAGACAATCTCTGCACTTTCTGAAAGTCCTCGTGCGTTCTAGGGTTTGGTGAAAGCGCGGATCTTTATGCAATATCGTTGAGGTCTCTTTATGTTAAATCTCGAGGAAAAAGTTACGGTTCATGAGATGTATTCGTGAATGTTGGTGTGATTTCGTTCGGGGATCCACGAAATTGGCATTTCGATATTTTCTTTTCTGAATCAGCGTTAAGCTCTGCTTTGACAAGTGTTGCTATCAGCTTGAGTTTTGAACTTTTCCTTATCTTCTATTTGCATTTGGCTTCGTGTGGCTGTGCTGAAAAAAGGAATCTTTTGCTTTTCTCGTTTGTTTCGAGTGTTGTTTGAGGGAAAGGGTCGCTTATGGTGTAAATTTCTTGTTCGCATACTTTGGTAGGGAGCAGGAGTTAAGAAATGTTGTTTTGAAATCATATCTTGATCATAAATAATGGGTTTTAACTTTTATGTTCTTTCAATCTCTCTTGTTTTTCAGGTTTGGTTGAGCGGTGTTTCTAGTACATAATCGTTTCCATTGCGGAGCAGTGTTCTGCTACTGATGGCCGAGTCAAGTCCAGTAGATGCTGTGTTGGAATATCTTAGAAGGAACAAGTTTACCAAAGCCGAGGCTGCTTTAAGGACTGAACTGGGCAACAGGCCCGATTTAAATGGGATTCTTCAAAAGCTTACGCTGGATGATAAAAGTACGGGCAACAAGTCAAATGTAGAAGCAAATGGGAGAATTATAGCTGAAGGAGATCAAAAGAGGGACATGTTACCGTCGAGTTCTTCCGAAACATCAAAGGAGCTAATAGTGAAAGAGGTGGAGTGTGGGAGTGATAAGAACTTCACCTTCTCCAAGAGTTCGGATGATACCATGCCAGGTTCGTGTTCATGGAAATGCACTACGAGCAATGGGCCAATTGCTTTTAATCAAAATGAAGAAAACAATTTTTTAGGATTCCAAGTTTCGGGGAAAGCAAAATTAATTTCAGCCGAGACTCCTGGTAGTGGTCAAGTTAATGTTAAATCAGATGCTACCGTTTCTGGTGAAAAGAAAACGAATTGGCCTGGCACTGTTAGTAATGCCAGTATGGAGCTGAAGTTTGATAAGGAAGTCGATCTACAGAAGAAGCCGAGTAGTATGTGTTCTAAGGACGAGCGCTGGAAAGATTGTTCTGTCAAAACTGTTTTCCCCTTCTCCAGAGGAGACACTTCTACCAGTTATGATAGTGCTGCTGCTGTTGGCGATAAAAGGGATGGGAAAAAGAAAGCGGAATTCAATGACATTAAGGCAGCAATAAAGGAGCAAGTAGATGAGGTCGGGAGATCTCTTTTATTCGGAAAGACTCAAGCAGGTGAGCCACAAGCTTTTGGTGCATTAGATTTTCATCCTGCATCTGAGAACCAGAAGGAAGAGCTGCCGAGACTGCCACCTGTCAGGCTTAAGTCAGAAGACAAGTCCTTTAATATTCACTGGGAGGAGAAATATGAACGTGATGGACCTGGTCCAATGATCTTAAATGCTGACAACTCATATCCTATTGGGTCATTTCTGGATGTACCTATTGGTCAAGAAATCATTGCTTCAGGTTCACAGGAAAACATAAATTATTTTAACTTTTATTTTTTGTTCTTCCAAATTCTACGCTACCAATGTAGAATGAATATGCATTTACTTAACATAATGATTAACTAATTATGCCTATTCGCATGTTATCACTGAAATACAGAATCAGATATTGAATAACTATGTTTATATGTTTTGTGGAATTAGCGGATTTTACTGTGAAGTTGATGATTTTAATGATATAGTTTACAAATCTGAGGATGCAACTCTTGTAGTTTGTTCCAAGCACTGTCATAATGTTGCATATTAGGAATCTTGAAATTTCTAGCTCTCGTCGTACTGCATGTTTAAGGAATTATTTGAGCCATTGCTAAGATTAATAATAATGTCCCTCTTATTTGAGCCATTGCTCTCTTCGTACTGCATGTTTAAGGAATTATTTGAGCCATTGCTAAGATGAATAATAATGTCCCTCTTATTTGAGCCATTGCTCTCGTCGTACTGCATGTTTAAGGACCGCAATAGAATTTCACTTCTCACTTACATGTCTGCTTATGTTGGGTAAAAGGGAAAATGTATCTAAGCAGAATGATAAATTAAACTCAAGTCACTTTCCACCTTATTTAAAAATGTTGTTTCTAATTTTAACATTATTTTAACGCCCCTCTTGTAAATTGGTTTGCTAGGACCGCAAAAGAATTTCACTTATCACTCACATGTCTGCTTATGTTGGGTAGAAGGGAAAATGTATCGAGCAGAGTAATAAATTAAACTTAACACTTCCATCTTATTATGTATGCTGTCTTTCAATTTGAACCGACATCTTTATAAATAAGATCTTGACCTCATAGTATCTTGATAATTCGACTTTTCTTTCCTTGTACACACACATTCTTTTTTTTTTATTATTATTATTTTTTCATGGTTATGAAAATTTTTCTTTCCCCAACTTTTTATATTTTCGTGTATGTTTATTCAAGTGATTATAATTCTTACAATGATGATTCATAGGTAAAAGGCTAGGAGGAGGCAGCTGGCTCTCAGTAAGTCAGGGTATTGCCGAGGATACTTCTGATCTCGTTTCTGGTTTTGCAACTATAGGTGATGGCCTGAGTGAATCCATCGACTACCCTAACGAATACTGGGACTCGGACGAGTACGAAGATGACGATGACGCTGGCTACATGCGACAACCTATAGAAGACGAGAGCTGGTTTTTGGCCCATGAAATTGATTATCCGAGTGATAACGATAAGGGAACCGCTCAAGGGAGTTTTCCGGAAAGAGGACCTAGCAAAAACGACGATGATGATCAATCATTTGCTGAGGAGGATTCTTACCTGTCGGGCGAACAGTTTTTACAATTGAAAACCATCGATACTATTGTGCCTTCATATGATCCCTCTCCTGTTCATGAAGTCTACGGGAGGAAAAACGAGAATGACTTAATGATGGAGCAATATGACGGGCAGCTGATGGATGAAGAGGAACTGAGTTTGATGCGTGCCGAGCCTGTCTGGCAGGGCTTTGTGACTCAGTCGAACGAACTCATTATGCTTGGTGATGGGAAAAATACGGCCGAATCCGAAAGGCCCCATCTTGATGAGATATGTACTGACGATAATCATCACGGTTCGGTTAGATCCATTGGGGTTGGGATCAACAGTGATGCTGCTGATATAGGAAGCGAATTTCGAGAAAGTCTGGTCGGAGGTAGCAGTGATGGCGACATAGAGTATTTTCACGATCGTGACTTGGATAAGACGGTTAAGAGAGATGGTAACAGGACAAAGAGACTTAACTCTGATAAGTATGTAATGAGTAATGAAATGGGTGGACTGTATAATAATACTCATGTTATTAAGAGTCGTGTGGATGGAGGATTTTCATTTCCTCCGCCTAGAGACGGGCGATTGGCTCAAACGAGCTCGAATAAATCTCTGTGGTCGAATCAGGCGAACACTGGATTCAGTGAGGAAGCCGATGATTGTGGCGTGTCGAATGATGGCATGCTTGCAAACTGGAGGCGTAAAAGTAGTGAGTCTTCGCCGGTTAAGAGCTTGAGGGAGGATGAGGACAATGCAAATTCTAGTCCCTCGTCGCTTTCGAATTACGGGTACAATGATAGGGAGCATGTGAAGAAAGAAGGTGATGTGAAAACGGGTGGATCGAGAGAAGAAGAAGATCCCGGGGCGTCGTTGGAGGATGAGGAAGCAGCTGCTGTGCAAGAGCAAGTGAAGCAGATCAAAGCTCAGGAGGATGAGTTTGAGACGTTTGATTTGAAGATCGTCCACAGGAAAAACAGGCATGTAACTTAACTTTTTATCTGCCTTTTCATTTGCTCTCTTTTCTTGGATAATCATATATGACCTTCCGCATTCTTAGATGTACCAGCCAACTTTATCCAGGAAAATTGTTCTATAGCAGTGAAATCGTTGATGTACACACTTGGATATGAAGAGTTGCGTTTTTTTTTTTTGTTTGGTATGAATTACTGGTAGTATCTGAGATTGATAGTTTTGCTATCTATTGCTTGTTTCCTACCTTACACTCCTGCTACATTATACCACAGTGTTGCATGAGTCATACATTTGAGTTGAAAATTTACAGTGTTCTGTCTGGGGTTTTTGCATTGATAAGCTTTATGTGCTTAATTTTGGGGTTTATTAGTTTCCCTTTGGATTTGTGGTTCTTTTATTAATTGCTACTTCTGAATATTCCAAATATTAATTATACTTCTGTGTCTTGTTTAGGACTGGCTTTGAGGAGGACAAGAATTTCCATGTTGTTTTAAACTCTGTCATTGCTGGTCGTTATCATGTCACTGAGTATCTTGGTTCGGCGGCTTTTAGCAAGGCTATTCAGGCGCATGACTTGCACACTGGCATGGATGTCTGTGTCAAGATCATAAAGAACAACAAGGATTTTTTCGATCAGAGCCTTGATGAAATAAAGCTGCTCAAGTATGTGAACAAACACGATCCTGCTGACAAGTACCACATTCTCCGATTGTATGATTACTTCTATTATCGAGTAAGTTAAGCATTTTTGTGTCGTGATATCAGTGTATTCTGTTATAATTGTTATATCGTTTCATCCTTCTATATCAGGTCATGCGATTTATTATTTTTTACTGCCTTTTTTTTCTAGTGACCTGGTCAATTATTATGCCCATTGATAATTGATTACTGAAGCAGCTCAGTTCAAAATTATTATGCCTTATTTCCTTGCTTTGAATTAGCTTTTGTTATTTCCAATGGAGATGGCAAAAATTGTCTACGGGTGACCAGTTGACCTTCACCTATACATGCAGGAGCATTTATTGATTGTATGTGAACTGCTGAAAGCAAATCTATACGAATTCCATAAATTCAATAGAGAATCTGGGGGAGAGGTCTACTTCACGATGCCTAGACTACAGGTTTTGTGGTGAAAAATGTCATATAACTGTTCTTTTACATTTTTTACTGTATTTGCTTGCTAAGTGGGATTTCTTTCGACTCTTCTGCAGTCAATCACCATTCAGTGCTTGGAAGCGCTGCAATTCTTACACAGCCTTGGTCTAATACATTGTGATCTGAAGCCCGAGAATATATTAGTGAAAAGTTACAGTAGATGTGAGGTAAAAGTTATTGATTTAGGAAGCAGTTGCTTTGAGACAGATCATCTTTGTTCGTACGTTCAATCTAGGTCATATCGTGCACCGGAGGTTATTTTGGGACTTCCGTATGATAAAAAGATCGATATCTGGTCTCTTGGTTGCATATTGGCCGAACTTTGTACAGGAAATGTAAGTTCATGCCATTCATAAGCTCGTTTTTCATCCCGTTTCTTTTGAACACCTAAATGAAATAAATCGGTTCTTATATGAATATAGGTGCTCTTTCAAAATGATTCACCTGCCACTCTACTTGCTCGAGTGATTGGAATCATAGGCACTATCGAGCTGGACATGCTATCGAAAGGAAAGGATACGTATAAATATTTCACCAAAAATCACATGCTTTATGAAAGGAATCAGGTAATGTACAGCCATTTCTCATTTTACATTACATATTAGGAAAAAGGAAAAAAAAAACAGTAACTTTTTCGGTAATGAAATGTGATATTTTTGATATGTTCGACATCAACTCCCATCATTAATCACATAAACTAACTATTATTTACTGAAGAAAATCATCAAATCAAACTTTTATCGTTAACTCTTGATATTATATCCATTCACACTCAATTAATTCATGTATTTCCTCTGTTTTTTTCCTATGTTCTTCAGGATTCGAACAGGCTCGAATACTTGATACCCAAAAAGTCATCCCTAAGACACCGATTACCAATGGGGGACCAAGGCTTCATTGACTTTGTCGCTTATCTGCTACAAGTCAACCCAAAGAAAAGGCCCTCAGCATCAGAGGCTCTAAAACATCCGTGGTTACAATATCCTTACGAACCAATATCATCCTAAAAACCATCTGACGATTTCTCGACAAATTTATCAAAACTCGAGAGCTACCCTTTTGGCCCGGCAAGCTTTTACATGAGAACACAGGATAAAAGCCCCTACCTTGATTTCTCAACAGGTTCGTAACTTTCAAGTGCCTGCTGAAAATCGGAAGGTGTGTTTGTTAATGACTAATGATTGAAACTTTTGTCTTCTATCCTCTGCCGAGTTGTAACTTGTATTATCACGAACGGGATGTTATCGTGCCAGCAATATGTATCAGTAGGATTTTCTTTTCCTTTCGTTTTTTTTTTTTTTTCTTTTTNTTCATTGCAGTTTGTTGTGGTGGGATTGGGAAGAAAGGAAGTCTGTACTCTTGTTGTGCATGATGGTGTGATTATTCTTTTAGGCTACTTAGTTATAATAGGCTGTGTAGATTAGTTGCTTATTTTCCAGTTTTGATTGGCTTGGGACCTTTATTTGGCTGTATTGGCACAACCAGAATTAAGTCTCTCTCTCTCTCTCTCTCGTTATTAATTAATCCCATTAGTGGGGTGTTTCTATTATGAACAAGCTCATTATGCACGTGTTCTATTTTACTTGATGATTTTGATTTTTGAAAAGAAGGGATTGATGTGTTCTGAAATTTATTTGAGATTAGTTCAAATGATCTCCATCATTTACTTGTGTCTAGGGTTGTAAATGAAGCAAAGACTGTATTGTTTATTTGGATTCGTGAGAATATTTTGAGCGTTCATTTTCGTATTTGATCTACTAAAGAATTTAATTTGTGATTTGTTTTTGATTTGTTTAACTTATTAAATATTTATATAAAAACATTTTACAGTTTGAATCATGAGTCAAATCGAGAAAAACTCATTCTATTACAATTTAAAATCCCATTTGTGCCATTGACAAGTGAAGAAAAAACAAATAAAAACATAATTACATGCTGCATACACGAGTTATAAACTATTTTCCCTTTCTATGTAATGCATCCATACAGAGACTGAATATGCATACAATATCCCGACACGTTTCTGACAAAACAAAGTTAAATTTGCAGTATAAACTATTTGAAATCTATGTTGTTTAAGCTTATAAAGGTTTTCTGAATTCTGATTATATTTCACAGACTAAGAATTAGTGGCTCCAATTGATAGAAAATCTATAAATGCCTGAGCCTCCTTACAGTTCCTTTGATTCACTTCTTCTTCTTCTTCTTCTCCTTCCTCTGAATATAAATCTTTATTTGCACCATTATTATTATTATTGTCTATAACTTCACTTCTGTTGGAGTCTGCATTCACTTGGAGAAAGTCATAAAATTCCACGCCTTTGCTATTTCTCTCTGCATAAAATGAAGATTAAAAAAAAAAAAGACAAAACAAAATATTGATAGATTAATAAAAAATTTTGCATGACATTTATATAATACCTAAGTATATATGATGGTGAAAAGTTATCAATGATAAATTTCAACCTACCAGTGTCTGCAGTGCAGTTACCGGATTTTTTATTCGTTGGATCGAATAATGATCCCCGAGAAATATCATTTTTCTCCACAAAATTAGGTCTAAAGCTCAAATTTACCCCAACCATTAACCCATCATACATTTTCTTCGAAGAAGAAGATGACGAAGAATAATATTGTTGCCGGTTTTTGCTACTACTTCTCACGAGCCCACAATCATGATCACAAAAAGCCATTTTCGTGCACGTTTTCGATTTTTCCCGGCATTTTCTTGCCATGATCACGTGCCAGTGGTTCTTGACGGCGTTATCAGTTCTTCCCGGGAAAAGCCGTGCGATTATGGACCACCGGTTTCCGTGAATCCGGTGGCAGGCCATTAGCCGTTCTTCCTCCACATCGGTAAACGGGCTCCGGTTAATTCTCGGGTTGAGTTGATTGAACCATCTCAACCTACAACTTTTTCCTGAGAAACTAAGAGATGTGTTAACAAATAGTTTAGTATCCAATAATTCGTTAACATAACATATTAAGAAGATAATTTGTAACTTTCTTTTAGGATTGTAATATTTACGTTTGACAACATAGATTACTAGAAGCACACGAGTACTTGTTAAAAAAAAATTATATTTTCAAATTAAATAATAATATTAATAAAAAGTTGTTTTAGTTTTTCAATACTTTTTAAAAAATATATTATTATTTATATTTAAAATGACACCGTCACTTACACGATTTACTATCTTATATAATAGTTTTTTTTTTAATTTATATCAGATATATAACTACTTTGTAGTTAAGTTAGTTTAAATAATTTTATTATTTGGAATTAATATTAATAGGTAACTTAATTTAATTTATTTATTTATTATGTATAGTATGAATGACAAATCGAAGCTCATCAAGACATGAGTAATTTGATATATTATATATAAAAATTTGTTAATAAATAAAAAATTTGTTAACTTTTAAGTTAGTAAATTTGCTATAATTTTAAAAGAAGTATGAGGAAAAAGAAGATTGGGAAAATAATTATACCTTATAAACCACATATACAATAGGAAATTATATTAAAACATAATTAATGCTCTTAAAAATGACCATAAATATCTAATATATTTGTGGATATTCAAAGCCTAGTTACTTTCAGATTGAAAATAAATTAAAATTCATCAAAATAAATAAAAAAAAGCTTAAAAATTTGGCACATAGGACTCCGAAGCGTTCGAGCCTGTAACTTAGGCTCAACATATTCAGGAATTATATATATGAGGGATTTGTGTGCGTAGATTTTTTAAAAAATGACATTTTTGTCCTCCAATCTGGTACGTGAGCCACACACGCTCAATTTTCGGATGAAATTTTGACCTCCAATGGCAGGCGGGTTGCGATACATACTTTTACGTATTAATTACAGATTGTAACTTATTACGAAAAAATTGTATATAGGTTGCAAATTAATCCCGAAAATCGTATAGGATGATTGTCCTAATTATATATTCTTTAATATATAATTTACTCAAATGATCAAGTTGCACCAAGCAACTACCTATATTGGTACATTGTTGCATAAATTAAAGACCATATATATCCACCAATTAAAATACATGAGCAATATGTTCTTTTTCTGTAAGGTAGATACTTTCAAATTTATTATGAAAGATTGAATCTTTTTTTTTCTTTTTTTTCGCTATTGTATAACTTATACAGATTAGAAACACGTAAAACGTAACACAATATGTAGTAGCGAAATATATATAACGATCACCTGATCTACCGTCTAGCTTCTCGGCTATGGAATTCCAGTTATGCGGTCCGTATCTTTCCACTAATTCACGTAGCTTCTCATCCTCAGCTGGCCTCCAGTGGCCTCTACTGCACATGATCATCTCCCAACCAACTCACCTATTCTATATATATATATATATATATATATATATATGCACTTCAAACCCTAAACTCAAGAATATATTAAATCTGATGATAAAAAATCAATCAAGACTAAAAAGAGTTTTGCAGCAAGAAAAACATAGAGATGATATCATATTAACTAGAAATCATGTACATATATATAACCCAAATTTATCTATAATGGTCAATAAAGAATTTTGTTGTAAAAAATTTGATTAGATAAACAAGTTTTTTCTGTTAGAGAGAGAGAGAGAGAGTAGGAGGGATTTGGACAGACCAGCTCCACCCATTGATGCAACATCTAGGCTAACAAACCCACTATAATACTTAAATATCATTATTATAAATTGTTATTTAATTAAATTTATACATATACATTTGGTGTATCTATGAGAGAATTAGGAACTCAAATTCTATTTTAGAAAAAAGTGCATAATTATCATGCGAATAGAAATGTCATACTTTGTTTTAGTTGATTTTAAAGTATGAAATTTATTGTTGAAAAAGTAGGATTATCGTCAAGCCGGCTTTCAGCAGCTAGCTTAAAACACACAAAAAAATTAAAAAAGGAAAAATTATGGTTGCTATGTAATGTGGACTTTAATGTGTCAACGTGATCTTCCCAAAATTCTAACCTAAAAATAACCAANTCTAACTAATTAAAACATATCAATTAATTAACTGATAGTTAATAGTGTGTTTAGGTTTTTAAGTATATCACGCTTGTTAGCTTGGAATTTTTCCTCTTCATTACGATCGCTACACACGCTTGTCAAGTGTAACTACTTGTGTGTGCATTCATAGATGGGCCGAGTTAACAAGGAGTTTTGTAGAGAAAAAAATGTTTTAGTCCCACAAAAGTGTTTTATTAAAAAAATAATCATTTATGTAATCAATTTGGTTTTCAGATGGGCCGAGTTAAACAATAACTTTTACAAAAAGATAAAAACTTATAAAGCCAACTTGGTTTATAATTAATTTTGTAAGTGTAGTAATTTTTTCTCCAATTCAGATAAAATCTAAATATTATTTAAGGCGCTTACTAAGTTCAAGTTAACCAAAATTTTGACATGAAAGGTACGCTTGACCAGACAGAAGTTATAATTATTATTATATTTTTTTTTTTTCGCTTAGCAAACAAACCAAATTGTTAGATTATCAACTATAGCTATCAGTGCATATATATATAAGAAGACTTCCTAGTAGTAATTTAACATCTATATCTAAAGCTGTTATCCATTAGTTCACATTCAAAATTAATATATAATTACTATACCACATAAGTAAATGTGAAGATATAGATAGAACTATCTGTAGAGGACATGCTAACTAATTTTGTCCTCTGCAGTTGAATTGTCATACCTACGTATAAATGTAGGAAAGGTAGTTTTAGTTCAAAAAACTAATTATTTAACATAAAAAAAAAATTGCCAAATCATAATCTTTTTCGATGGGAAGTAAGACTTGTTTTTTTACTATTGGCCTACAATTCTTCTTTTCTCCATTTATTGTTATTATTATTCATTAATTACTAGTAGAATTATCATTTTTTTTTTCTTTTTGCCGGCAGCAGAAGTTCCACCACTTTTGCCTCTGTGTTAATGAATTTGAGCTTTAAACGAGCTCAATTGATAAACGAATCGAACTCACGAGCAGCTGGTTTCACAACTCTGAGCCAAGGCCTATGATTGGTGCTCTTCTAAAATGTGACCTAAACAAATCGGTTTTTTTCTTCTATTACACACTGTTCTGAAGCTTCTTTTTAGTGAGAAATTGCAGAAAAACATAATCAAGTAATCCATTTTGAACGCAACCGGCTTGTTAATGGGTAAAGATGGTGGTGTCTGATATTCAGATTAAGGAGAGAGATTACATATTGTAATTTACATTTTCCTTGGCAGAATAAATTTAGTATAGTCAAGTACAGACAATTTAAAGTTAATCCTTTTTTGTTTTTTATTTAATGTGTGTGTTTTCAATCAGCTCTTGATTGTGGTAAATTGATTCTTTTTCAGTTTTTGTTTTATTTCAAAAAATGAATGTCTTCTGGTTTTGTTCTTTCAATGCCTTAACGTGTGTGGTAAAGTGAACATAATAAAAACCAGCTGTTGAACAGATATGTACACTCTATCTCGCTCGAGTTCTCATATAATCGAGTAAAGCACGCCAAAAACTCCATAACATGCCGTCAATTGAATAGGCTAGCCAGACCCCTTTATCACAAGAAACTCAACTGATTATATGATATTACTAATAGAAACCTACTAAGATTACTGCCCACCATTAACCTGCTCAGTCCAATATTCACTCACAAGCTGACATGCCTTGGAACCTCGCTCAAACAATACAATTCTCTGAAGCGCTTTGAATTGTTCAGTGAGATCATTTTTAAGAAAACCACTCCAAGTCGAAGTTGATATGACTTTTCGGGGTAATATTTCCATTCTCTCAAGTACTTGAGAATTCCTCAGAAGATAACACACCAGATCAAGTTCATGCTCGTCAAAACATGGTTGCTTAATTGCTATAGTTTTTAGAGACGACGGTAGGCATTTAGGCACTTGTTTCGGCTCCATACAAGAACCACGAATTTCTACATTATGATGAACACCAATGCATCGGCAAGATCCAGTTACAATAAGGACTTGAAGATTATCAGCAACTTCAAGAAACTCTACAAGCAATTGCCATTCAACACCCAATTGGAGTTCAAGTTTGGTCAAATTATTAAACTTTTCAATCGAACCAACAACCTGCAAAAGAAAAAATCAACTCAAGAACAAGATGGGATGCTTTAACAGTGAACGAGATGAGATGACAGAAAAATCACACATACCTGCATGTAACAACAACATGATATCTTTAAGCACCTGATTTGATGCAAATGATTAAAAAACTCGACCAAATTGGATTGGTTATGGTTATTGAACTTCCACCCACAACATTGTCTAAAGCAGATGTTGGCCTCAAGCAAGGAGGTCATATCTATTGGAATGACGATGCACCCCAAATCACATCTACCCACACGGAGACATCTAACTGCCGGTGCATCTATTAAAATCTTATAGTTCAGGTCCTTCGGTCTACAAATACGTTCTAAACTCAACTCCAGCCTTTTTATCGTCGATGATGATAGATTAACATAACTATGGATTTCTCTACTTCCGAACACATCATTCAGGATCAACTCCTGGAGCATAGGACAGCCAGAAAGCAATTGCTGAAGAGCTTCATCATCCTCAAACACAACTTTAGAAAGATGAAGTTTCTTGAGGCTAGGCAAAAATATGTTCCCAGTTGAAGGCAAACCTTGGGCGTTATCGAGCCTCATGTCGACCATGGTTTTGCAGGTGAAGTGGGTTTGATGCAAGAAAGCAATACGGCCAATGCCTAAATCGATATGAAGATTCCGGATGTTACGCTCCATGGCAGTGGTGACCCATGTCTCCAGTTGATACTCATTGCACCTTATAAAGCCGAGCCGAAGAGTATGCAATGTTTTCGCCTTGTGCCGCATAATGATCCTGTATATCACGTCTGTAATTGGTTGTGTTCTGTTTTTGAAAAAATCTGCTTGGAAATCCAAAACGGGTACGTGGGCCCACAAAAACCTCCATCATTTAGCGAGGACGCAGGTTGACACAAATAACTTTATCTTGAGGAAGGAGAGAATGTGGCATATGGCTGCATCTGGCAAGCTGCTGAGCATATCAATTGAAAGCTCACGACTCATTTCACTCATTTGTCTTCTTCTCTCCCTCTCTCCTAATGATATTCAACTGCTTCAAACCAAAAGCACGAGTCATTCAGAATATGAAGATGGTGTGTATTTCGAGTAAGCAAGCATAAAGTATAAAAATTGGGAAAAGCACTCGAGAAATCTGACCAACAGCTTCACGAAGATCTGAAAGGCTCCACCTTTTTTTTTTTAATCAAATTTTCAGAATCGGCCATTTAAATTACAGTGTTAGCGTGTAAAGACGAATAGATTAAAAGGTGAGTGAGAGTTAACATGCACAAACAGGATTTTTTTGTTACGAACACCTGATAATATTCAGTGTCTCAAACCAAAAATCATGTGTGATTTAAAAGGTTTTATCGATGGTGTTGCACAAAATCATCCTAAAATTAAAATATAAAAATTAAGGGAAAAACACTGGGGAAAACTTACCGGCAGCTTCACGAAAATCTGAAAGGTGCTCTCTTTTCCTATTAAAAAATCGCAGTAGCCAGTTAAATTGTAGGGTAAGTATATAGAGACGTAGGGTAGAAAATTAATATATTGGGCCTTGAACCGTACCGGACAAACGCCAGGCCCGGTTCCAGGGCGGGCCACTGACACGGTGGTCGACCAGCTGAGCCCGACTATCAACGGGTAGACATTTCCGTTTGGCCCAGCCCGTTGGTTCGGGGCTGACCTTATGGGTCCGCAGGCCCAATATGTTGGAAGTATGTGGTTCCTAAATTAGGCGGGCTTGATTTATTATTATTCTTTCAAATAAAATACATTTTTCAATTCAAGAATTTGCCCTTTGGGCTGAGCCAGAACCAATAAGTCGAAAATTAATATATTAGACCCGAATGGCGAAATCAAGTTGGACAACCACCGGGCGTGATTCTTGGGCTAGCCACTGACCCATGGTCAATGGGTTGAGTAAACGAGTTGAGTCTAGTGGGTTGGTCGTGGGTCGAAACGTTGCCCAATCTAGTCACAAATCCTGGTATTGGGTAGTCGAATCATTAGACACATCAATTCGTCATACTATATGCACAAAAATATGTACTTAAATTAGCAAATTAATACTTTCGTTTATGTTGTATTTTAAACTAAAGTATGACATTTTCTAATAAAATTATACATATTTATGAAATAAGTTTGTCGTCTTAATGGTTAGACTAATCTAACAAACAATTTGATAATTTCAACACAATAAAAGGGAATGAATGCCAAAAACACAAATTCTTGTGTGAACCGTGTAACCATTAGATATATGGACCCGTCATAATTTTCTAACAAAAACATATATTCATAACAAAATGTCATTCATTAATCGGCCACTCCTCGTTATCATACTAACAAGTTCATGAATCATCACACAAATTCAGTCTTGTCATACAAATGAAAAAGAGTTATCACAGCACCAAAGGAACACTCAGTTAAATATATTGATATGAAGAAAAATAACCTAAGATCACTGTTCAAAACCAGTTCAGTCCAATAATTAGACTCAACAATCTGAAGAAAAAAACAAGCTGTCATGTCTTGGATCCTCGCTCAAACAATGCAATTTTCTAAAGCGCTTTGAATGCCGAAGTCGAAGTTGATCCATCTCTCGGGGCTAATATTTCCATTCTCTCAAGCACTTTGGAATTCCTCAAAAGATAACGCACCAGGTCAAGTTCATAGTCTTCAAACCTTGGTTCCTTAATTGTGATTGTTCTAAGAGACGATAGTAGGCATTTAGGCACTTGTTTCGGCTCCATACAAGAATTACGAATTCCTACATCACGATAAAAATCTTTGCATTGGCAAACTCTAGTTACAATAAGGACTTGAAGATTATCAGCAACTTCAAGAAATTCCACAAGAAAATGCCATTTAACACCCAATCGAAGTTCAAGTTTGGTTAAATTATTAAACTTTACTCTTGGACCAACAATGCCGCCAATAACCTGCAAAAGAAAAATCAGCTGAAGAACAAGACGGGATGCTTGAAGAGAAAATAAGATGAGAGATAAACGACAACATACCTTCAGGTATCTACACCTTGATATCTTTAGGCACCTGATGTTGCGCAAACGATTAAAACCCTCTAACACATTGGAACTGTCATTGTTGTCAATGGAAAGTCTTCACAGTAATCAAAACGGATGTACACCTCAACTAAGGAGAACATTTCTATTGGAATTGCGGAGAAATTCCAATCACAATCAACCATACGGAGACATCTAAGTGCTGGCGTGTTTGCATAGAAGGAAACGTCAACTCCAAAATTCACCTCAAGCATTTTTATTGTGGATGATGACACATTCAAGAAGTTCGTATCAGTTTCTTCATCGGGGAAATTGAGGATCAACTCCTGGAACAAAGGACAACCAGAAAGCAAGTGCGGAAGGGCTTCATCATCCTCATACTCAACATAATGAAGATGAAGTTTCTTAAGGCTAGGCAAACATATGTCCCCAGTTGAAGAGAAGCCTCTGCAGTTACCGAGCCCCATGCCAACCACGGTTTTGCAGTTGAAGAGGGGTCTATGCAACTTAACAATTCTTGTGTAGACAAAGTCGAGATAAAGATTCTGTATTTTACGCTCAATGGCAGTGGAGATCCATGTCTCTAGTTGATACTTGTTGCAGTCTATATGGCGGAGCCGAAGAGTACGCACTGTTTTGGCCTTGTGCCACAGAATAACCCTGTGAATCACGTCTGGATTTGGGGTTTCATCTTCGACAAATTCTACTCCATCAAAATTTCCTTTGAAATCCCAAACGGGTACGTGGGCCCACAAAAACCTCCATCTTTTCGCGAGAACACATGTTGACAGAGAGAGCTTTGTCGTGTAATTTAAAATTTGTTGGAGACTATTTTCATAACTACCTAATAATTGTCTTCTGATTTGTTAAATTTGAAATTAAAAAATAGTTTGTTGGATACTTTTTTTCATAACTACCTAATAATTTGTCTTTTGATTTGTTTAAATTTGAAATTAAAAAATGAAGTTCATGCCACGTTCGTAAGACTCTGGAAATCATATAAGAATTTTATATTATATGATCGGTTGGTTCCTAAAAACTTGGCGCATATATACAATCATTTTTCAAAATTTAAAATTTTAAGATTACATATAAATATTTCTTCAAATGGTCATATTTATCTTTTTAAATTTATTAATGTTTTAAGATTACTATTAAATATTTTTTCAAATGGTTATAGTTATCCCAACACATTTTATCACACTAAAAATAATATATTACGATTTATCACACTACAAATAATATATTATAATTTAATTTTTTTCACACAAATGTTTGAAAAGGGAAATTTTTATACATACTATACGAAATTAAAGAAATTTCGAATTTACCATTGAATAACAAATAATTTGGTATATACCTGATTGACCAAAAATAATTACGTCAATGCCTAAAAATCAGTTACCCATTGTAAACATCATCCATTCCATATTTTGTGCGTGATTTCTGGGCGCGATTTCCGCGATGTTAACACGAAAATAAACAATTCACGCAGCTGTCCAGTTGGGTATATGTTAGTATATATTCAGTATATGTTACAATGAAAAATATGTATTCCATAAAAAATTATGTCTTCTTCTTTTTTTTTTTTTTTTTAATTTTATACATAAATATATATATATATATATATATAGTTTATAAACATATTATAACAGGTTACTTATATTCCCTATACAAACAAATCTTCTAATATCTGAACATATACTCTATATACACACAACATAAACTGAACAGTTTACAAAAAATCTTCTAATATACTGAACATATACTCTATATACACACCACATATACAACCTGGCTGCAACATAAAACATATGCTACCGTGAACATACACTGTGGATATACCGTAGATATACTGAAAATAAAACAAGTAAAGCTTATTAACATACTCTTTTCACTATCACAAACATTAATTTAGCCCACTACCCAGGTGGCCAGGCCCTTTCATTTCCGCCGTGCAAAAAACCCTAATCAACCATTAACACTACCACACAGAGCTCAGCAGCAGCGCAAGCGCCTCCACCAAAACGAAAAGAAAAATGGTGAAATTCATCAAGGCGAACAAGGCGGTGATACTCCTCCAGGGCCGCTACACCGGCCACAAGGCCACCATCCTCAAGAACTTCGACGACGGCACTCGCGATCGCACCTACGGCCACTGCCTCGTCGCCGGCGTTGCCAAGTACCCGACGAAGGTCATCCGCAAGGACTCTGACAAGAAGCGGGCGAAGAAATCGCGCATCAAGGCCTTCATCAAGGTCGATTAAATTTTTTTCTTTGATTGGGATTAGTGAGTTTTTAGTTTTGAATTTTCTGAGTTTTTACATTTTTATATGGAGATGGGAAGGAGAGGAGGGATATGGAGATGACGGAGATGGGAAGAGGGATCTGAAGGGGGATCGATGGCGAAGAGGGGGCAAGGAAGATATGGAATATCTGCAGAGAGAGAGGAGACGTGGGCAGTGGGGGGAGAGATTGAACATATTTAATTTCAATTAAGGATCTCATTAGCATTTAATATGCCATAAAAAAAGTAATCGGTTACATCAGGTATTAAAATATTTTTAATTTGTTTAGGTAATTTTATAAATAAGAACTAGTGAGAATCCCGTGCGATGCACGGGGTTTCCGTACTTTAAAACTTTTTTTTAAAAAATTTTATTTTCACAATATATTAGCATGCTGACCCGTTTATATTATTATAAATAATATTTTAACATATATATTTATTTTTTAATATAAAATAATAATAATTTTACATATTTTGGTTCATCATAATACTCAATTATTAATCTATCAAAAAATCTATTATCATATAATGTCATTATTATTTATAACACTTGTAGAAGTAATACATTTGTTATATAATGATAAATATGTAGTGTATATTAATATTATTTATTGATGTAATTAATTTAAAAAGATATAAGCAAATTTAATGTTTGGTAGGAATGTGATTATATGTAAGCTGAGATAAAATGAAATGTATCAAAAAAATCTGCTTATCATATTTTCCTTTAAATGTTTGAATGAATTTAAAATTTAAATTACAAATCAACCTCCAGTTATTCAAATAATTTTAAAAAAGTTACCAATTATAGTAAAATGTACATGACAATAAAAAAGTTACCAATATAGTAAAATGTACGTGACAATATATTATAAATATACATGACGTCAGTAATGTTATGGATCTTTAGGTTCCTAAAATATATATTGTTTAGATATGAAACTAATTAACTTATATGTTAAGATAATATATATAAATATATGCATTGTACGAAATATACACGTGACAAGTTATTATATTTGTTTGTATTGTTTATTATATTTGTATATAAATATATTGTTAATATATTTATCTGTATTGTACGAAAAATTGTTATATTTGTTTATATATTGTTTAGATATGAAACTAATTAACCTATATGTTAAGCTAACGTATAAAAATATGTATTATATGTAATCTTAAACGTGTTTGCTAAACTTTTCCCTTAAAAAATTCAAAATACATTTAGGCATGTTTTATTTGAAGTTTGAAATTTAAATATGCATCTATATAACAAATCCCATGATTTATTCTAGCATTAAATGCTACTTGTTTTTTTATTAAAAAAATAAAAAAACATACCAAAAATGGAATGCAATTAATATTCCCTATTTTTTTGCTTACTATTTTTGAAAATGTTAATTCTTATTATATATATATAAATATAAGGGGTATATAAATGTAATAAAAATCATAACTTGTGGTGAGGGATGCAAATTCCTCTTGAAAATTTTAATTTGTTGGCAAGAAGGTTTGCCACAAAATCAAACAAAAAATATTGTGTATAGGGAACAGTTCAACAATATATGATTTTTCATACTCTGTATCTAATTTTTTGCCATAATAAAATATTTAAACTTTAATAATTATATTTAAAAATAAAGTTTTAAATAAGTTTTGAGGAACAAGTCTCATCGTGCATCACACGGGTTGCTCACTAGTTTAAAAAAGAACACACGGAACTAACATTCAAAACACAGTTAAAGACTAAAAGCACACACACATAATCCCAAAACATGGATCAGCCAAGCTCTACAAATTATTTAAAAGTTCAAAATTAACATCATTTCTCAACACATTTTTTGCACTAAAGATTCTTACGAAAATTAATTCCGAAGAGGGCAAGCAACCAGAGCCATGCTAGTATGTATTCAAGGATAAGCGAAAGGAAACACATTACTGTGATGGTAAAGCAGAATAAAACTACCATCCAAAACACAGCTAAGACAATCATATGCTAAACTAAAAAACCCATTGAAAACTGAGTAAACACACAAACATAATCCCAAAACACAAGCAAAGATGGCAACGAGAGGTAGAATACACTTAGGCTCGAATAACTGACACACAGTGCGGAATAAAACTCCAGCACAGCTCTCTATCAAGCTTGAACTTGAACGAATCCACAGAGCTAGCATTCAGAAGAAGACCTTTTCCCTCCACAACTTCCTTCTTCTTCTTCTTCCTATAATCCTCTTTGTATTTCTTGAGGTTATAGCGAGACACATCCAAAACCATGTACGCGATCTGCGTGTACATATCTAGGGCCGTTTGCAAGCGCACCACAAGAAGAGCGTGACGCTCCTCGTCATAAACCACATCGGTCTGGAAAGAACAACGTACTCCAAACCTGACATCCACATTCAAAGCGAGCGATGATGTAGGATACCAAGAGGCCATGCTCGAATCAAACAAGCGTTCCTTGTACTTGGTCTTGGCCCTAGGGGAAATGTCGTAAGCCTTGGAAGAATCCAGGCATAGCTGAATCCCATCTTCGATTACGAAAAAGCGATCATTGAAAGGGATTCTCTTGGCCCCAAGATACGAATCCTGCTTATGCCAACCGAGCTTCGGCATATCGATATCAAATATGAAAATTCCTTCACTCGTTTGGAAAAGCATGACTGAGCTCGTGAGGAAAGTAAATCCTTGTATTTCAATGTCCTCGGGACAATGGCACCCCGTCCTGAGCAGATAGTCTCGTAGCGACGGGAGCTTCTGCCAGGCCTTGTTCTGCGGGTCGTACACCTCGAAATCGATTTCTTCAGCACTGGTAGTAATAGTAGATGAAAATACCACAATCCTCTTTCCGTCGGGCGTGGGGCTCACGAAAGGAAGGAATTTGGGGTACAACATTTCCGGCGCGGCCAGCAGATCGTCTTTACGCAAAATGTCACCGCACACGGCGCCGCCGCTGTCTTTCAGGTACCGCGACAGATCGTAGGTATATACCGATTTCCCTCCCAGGGATCGGGCGATGGTATGGATGCCCATCTCGATCATGTACAGGGTTGAATTCAGAACGCAGAAATTGTAGAGGCCGTCGTCGAAAGAGATTCCATCGATGAGAAATGTGGGGCGAATGGAGATGATTGACTCATCACTAACATCGCCGCCGGCTTCCGGTTGCAAATCGGTGATCATTACGGCGTACGACGGAATCGCGCTATCTGAATAACAGTAAGAGCAAACAATGCAGACTTTGGTTGATTGTGCCGCAGCAGTGTCCATGGTTGAAAAACTCTGAGATTTTGAGATCTGAGGCACCTGAGTTGATCAAGTTATTGAATAACTCTGTTCATCAAGGAGATCATCAGTTTTTCAGCTGAAGAGTTCATCAAATTATTGAATAATTCTGTTGTTTGATACAACTAAAGTCACCATCAAAACATAATGAAACATTATATCCAGATCATTCAAAAAAATAGAACAGATATAACTTCAATTATGAACAGCAACCAAAAAGAGAAAATACAAATCCACACAGGTCTTCCATCTATTTCAAACAGAATCACAAAAACCCATAAGANNNAAACCGAATGCATCACTATCCCACCACAGATCTAAATATCGATCAGCAAACCCAGCGGATACTGACGGCAAATATCAAACCCATCCAGAAATTTCACAAGCAAAATTCAAGCCAACAGAACCCAATCCAAAAGGTTACATTACAGATCAAGAAAACAAATCAACAACAGGCCCATCAACAAAACGAATCAGACCATACCTTGCTTGAGACGATAGGAGATGATAATAAATGTCAAAACGGAGGAACAAAAGGTATGCAGAGCTTGCGTATGAAACTGAGTTGCATTAAGAAAGTTGCCCCATAGATAAAATTGATGAGTAAAAAAAATTTAATGTTTAGCTAGCAATTATATATATAAATATATATATATAAGCATAAAAAATGTATTTTATTGTTAATTATATAATATTTAATTCTATGTTTGATGTTGTTAATTATATAATAATATTAAATTTTGCATAATCTTGTGGATGGTGTCATGTGACCGACTTAAACATACTACATCTTCATTGTATTATTTTAATTAATTGATTTTTTTATTGATTTTTCTCATATTAATTTGACCTTAATTGTTGCTTGGACATTGACTGCTTTTATGAAATATTATGTTGCTTGGACAGACAAATATACTAAATAATTTCTGTAGAGCCAAAAATATTGCCACGTAAGATTTATGAATCAGATGAAAATAATAATTGGATATATAAAATAATTGTTGCAACTTTCGTTTTCTATCTGAAAATATATAAATATAATGATTAATGATTTTCTTTCACTTTTTTGCCGACCAAATTTATAATTAAAGGAGCTGAAATAATTTTTATTTTTTTTAAATTGTGTTTATCAGATTGGATGTACTTTTTATTTTTGTTTGTCCCATTTTTGTTACGTTTTTCGTGTCTATTTTCTCGTTCTTTTTCCCCCATTTTGAGTCATTTGTGTTTTTAGAGTCGTTTTGTCGTTTATTTCGTGTTTCGCGTCTTTGTGAGTATTTCTGTGTTTTTCGTGTGCTTTTCCGGTTTCCTTCGTTTTTCTTTCATTTTTGGTGTGCAGGTCGGAAGCTTTGGGAGGACAAGTTTTCAGGAAAATATGTGATGTGATTACATAGTTAGATAGAGGGGTTTGTTAGCTACGCGTAGGAAAAAACGGAACTCAATTCCGAGTTCAAACGAGCCCGAAAAGCAAAGTCCAGCAGGCTGCCCAGAACCTTAGCGCCGCTAAGGCACCTTAGCGGCGCTAAGGCACACAGGATAGCGGCGCTACACTGTACTGGCTCGAACGGCTAAGGCACCTTAGTGGCGCTAAGGCCCGCCCACTGCAAGTCCCAAGATGATATAAGAACCCCAAAAACTCGTTTTTTTCTGGATTCTTTCATTCTCCCCCTCCTGGGGACGAACCGAGGGCTAGAAAAATGCAAAAAAATTCCCTTCTCCTCCCTTTATTTTTTCTCCATCGTTTTTCCTCCTCTTTCCATCTTTCTTTTCCATTTCTCTTCTTCTTCTTCTCTACATCTAAGGATTAAGCTTGTATTTCGAATTCAACTTTGAAACTTGGATTGATTGTAAGTACTCAGTTCTCTTATTTGATTCATGAATAATGGTTATTTGAGAAGGATGATTATGATTGTTGAATTTGATATTCGTAGCTAAATCTAATTGCTAGGGATAGGGGATGATTATTCTTGTTTAACGTACATTTGTCGGGCTCAAGATTGTTCATGCTTATGTGAGTTGAATTGATTAGGAATTGATGAAATTGTGTTTGGTAGTTTGATGTAATCGAAGGGTGACACTTCGATCGTGCAGTTGGTAACAAGTGGATATTGAGTTGTCGAGTTTAGTTTTGTTGATTCCAATGATTAGTTGACTAAATACCTTCTAATTAAATTAGCGACTTTTTGAACCGAAAGGGGCGAAGTCGTAGACCTAGACTTGCATGAGATAGATTATTTCGTAACTGAGTAATCTATGGGTTGAGATTGAAATACGTGCTTGTCGATGTCCCGTCCCTTGTTACGAAAAGTTATTGGGATTGAGATAATTGGCTTGTGTTGTATGCTCGAGCTTGTTGGTCTATGTTCAATCCCTTGTTACGAAGAGTTATTGGGAGCGAACCTCTAGATGTTTAAGCGAGAGTGTCAATCTCGAACCGAACGATTAATTGCCCGGCTTTGCTAGAACTTGAATTAATTATCCCCGATTCCCTAGTTTCTCCATCTTTGTTCCATCCACATTTTTAGGTAGATTATTGCTCTTTATTGTTTCTTAGACAGTAATTATTCAAACCCCTTTTCTGATTAGAGTGTTTAGGATTTTATTTTCTTTTTATGTGTTATCATTACCAAAGCTAAATTCCGAACCGACTTCCTCGAGAGATCGACCCGGGAAACGAATCCTTGATTCTGTACTCGGTAAAATATAACAATTTGTACACAACAATTTTGATATGTAGTTTTCTTTTGTAAATTATTTATTATTTATTATGGAGTTTCAAATATGTTTTTTATTTTTCAAAAAAATTAATTTAAATGTAACCACAATAATAACATTTAATCACATTATACGGTCAACACATTATATAGTCAACTGTCGGTAATAAAAAATTTAAAATAATTTTTATAATTTTGAAGTGATTAGTGTGTTGATTATCTAATCTAATAATTAAATGAAAGGTTAAAGAAATCAGAAGTAACAGTTTTTGGAGGAAAAATGTTATATTACCACATAGGTAAAATTAAATAGATTTTATTAAATTTTTAGTTAGCAATTATATATATATATGTGTATATATATGGATATATAAGCATAAAAATGTATTTAATTATTAATTATATAAAATTTAATTTCATGATTGCTACTGTTAATTAGATAATAATATTTAATTTCGCATAATCTTGTGGATGGTGGTACTGAAACATACTTTCTTCATTGTATTATTTTAATTAATTGATTTTTTTCACAGTAATTTGATTAATTGTTGTTTGGTAATTGGCTGCTTTTATGAATTCATACTAGTATTCGTCCTTGTGCACAACTGCACATGCACAGAGACAAATATAAATTTATATATTATATGTATATGTACAATATTTATAAATTTAATTTAGATAATAGATGTAATACATTTTAAAAAAAATTACTATATACAAATATACAATATAAATATAAATTATTTAACTTGCGTGTGAATCTTTATAGTAATTTAGAGGGACCATACAATTAATTAGTTAGAAAATCATTACAATTACTTTTATTATTGTTATAATAACTATTTATGTAATTTTAACGATTTTAATTATGACACTCATGTCAATGAACTAATATTAGAGAAAAATCGCTTAATAAAACGAAAAAATAATATTTATTGTAGAATAAGTATTTTAAAGAAATAAAACAATTGCAATACAGTTTTTTTATAAGTATGTAACTTTCACCTACTATTTAATGTAAATTTATCAACAATTATATATATATATATAGAGAGAGAGAGAGAGATGGGATCATATGAGAAAGAAGGATAGTGAAAAAAATAAAAATAAATATGTACCATTAGACCATCATATCAATAGTGAAGATGAAGTCAAATTTTAGTAATTAATGGTCGTTCAACTAATGGCAATGTCGTAAATAAATATACCTATCATGGTTAAATATACATATTTCACCACTAACTAAGGACATTTAAGTCATTACATAATCACCCACTATCCATGGGCCCACCAATCAAAACAACCACCCCTCTCTCACACACGAAACACACTCAGTTTCACACATGCACAAAATACACGAACACACACATCCGCCGGTTTTGTCACGGGCCAGCTTACACCCTCAGATCTGCCGGTTGGTGTTGCCGTCCACCGCCTTCAGACCACCCGCATCGTCTGTCAGTCGATTGGTGTCGACGGCCATTGAACGGAGCTCGCTGTAATGACCCGTAAATATTTTTGCCCAAACTTTTGGATTTTATTTATTTAATAATTTTTAATTTAATTCTTCTTTCCAAGTATTTTAAGAAGGCCAAATTATGGACCAAGATTGATTTCAAATCTCTATCATACCATAGTTATGTATCATTCAAAAATCCTATTGATTTCACCTTCCTAAATTGGCCCCAATAATTTAGTATAAATACCCTACACCTTATGACTCTTTTTCACACAATTCATCCTAGAGGTAAATATTTTCCTCATCTTCTTTCTTTCTTCCTTTGTTTCTTTATTTCTTTCTCCCAATTTATCATTCTTCTTCAACACCGTCCCCGGCCATGCGTCGTTATTCTGCCACCGCCGGACCGCCCCTCGTCGGATCCATGTGTATGTGAGTATATGGGTACGGTGGAAAACAAGTTGAATGAATACTATTGTTTTATTTTTATTTTATAATGTTCTCGGCAAATAAGAGTGAGATCTATGGAGTTCAATCTAGCAATTGCTAAGATTTTTGTTTAATTCTCCATCTCACAAAGCCGATTGGACATGATATTAATTATATGTAATAACTCACACACACTACACGCACATCTACTTAATTCTCTTAAATTATTTATCTTACATATACTTGTGCGTATATTAAATAATGTATATGTTAAACAGTTAATGATTTGTTTGCCATCAAGAAAAACTAAGGGGGTGATTGGATATGAATTCAACTAGTAAAAATCTAGTTTTTTTTTTAACTATAGTTAAGTTTGAAAAAAA